TATTTTGTTATCTAAAAATTAAATTTTTATTTCGTTTTATGCAGTTAGGTTAGCCAATTAGTTGGTCATTAATTTTTTATCCACTATTTTATTTTATCATTGCCCTTTTAGTGCTTTTACCACTAAAAGTAGAAAGAAATATAGTAAATCAAAATAAGAAAATAATTTGAGATAATAGTAGAATATTTGCATAACTATTGTACTCAAAGCGAACCAAACTTATAACCATTATTAACATTAAAAAATAAACTTTCAAAATTAACAGTGAAAAAAATTAAAATTATAAACTATAGAAGTATTATTTTTTTGTTGTAAATTTTCATGTTTTTTAGAGATTTTTTTAAAATTTAAAAAAAATTATTTTCAAGACTGATGAATGCGAATGAAGCAAAACAGATATAAACCATTCTACTTAGGAAAACTATTAAACTCGTTTTGTCCAAAGTATATCCAAATTGAATTTTTATAGCTTCTTTTTCAACAACTATTAAGTTAATGACCAAAAAAAAGACCAGAAATGGCTGTGAAATAAAGTAATCTTAAGCTAATAAACTGTCATGAGGTCAATAACACTTGCAACCGTCATCATCTGTTTGTCAGGTAATTGTTTTCCGCTCTGGCACCAAGCTATAGTTCTTTGAAAGGCTCGGTAAACAATAACTGCAAATGGAATAGAGTAGCTTTGTCGGTTCGATAACTATGATTAAGTGTTGATCGTGGCTGATGATAAACCACATCCTCAATGATCAGTTGCTTGAAAATCTATACCGTAGTTTGAAGTTTCGGTTGCACTAGACTAAGGCACTTTACTAGACAAACGAAGTGAAGAAATAAATTTTTTTTTTTCGGTGATGAGGAGAAGGCAAAAAGTATGCAGAGCATTCGAAAGGGCTTATTCTGCTGTTGCCCCTGTTGCCGGTTTTTGTTTACCAAAAAATTTTGTGCAACTCACAACATTTTTCTCGCACTTTCATTCTCTATGCAACATATTAAACTTCTGTATCCTTACTACTTTCCATTCTTAAATTGTTTGTTGAGATCATTCTTCCATTGAAATAATCTAAGTTTATTATCCCTGGATACACAATTTCACCTAATCTGCCTAAAAATCACGCATTAAACAAGAAAGAAAAAAAATTTAGTCAACTCAAATTTTTTATTCTTGTTAACTCATCAGCTCGGTACTGTATTTTTTTCTATTAACCACTTTTTAAAGTTGTTGAAAATAAACAGCATTTAGTTAATATTTAAAAAACTCGAGACTTCAAACCAACGTCAACCACTTCATAATAGTGTTTTCCAGAAATATACTCAACCAGAGATAACAAGTAGCTTTTTTCGTCTCTTAACAGAAGAAAAAGTAGATAGAATTATTTATAACATATGACAAAGAAGTGTAGTATTTTTAAAGCAGCGAATAAATTTTTCCTCAGTTTTTAGCCGCTGCAAGTTCCATAGGTTACTCATAACCTGCCGTTGCTTCAAAAGACAGAATATAACGTGCCATTTACAGGACGGCTACGAAAACGGAAATGATGAAAAGCCAGTCAAGAGGAAGTGGACTTTGGAGCAGCTCCGGGGTGGACATACTTTCCTCTCACTTCAGGCAGGCACCAACAAATTTGACTCCCAAAAGGGGATGACAGCACCTGGTATGCCAAGATGGAATATTACTAAAGATAAGCATCTTGGGTAAGTTTTAGCTTCCTCACGTTAAACCAATTTTTGTAGTTGTTGAACAGTTATCATGTTGATTTTTAACCAATAATTTTTGTTTCTTCACAACATTACAAACCGCCACTTTCAGTTTCATCGAACCAGACAGAAAAAGTGAAGAAGTTCTAAGGGCTCAGTGCGGTACAAACCAATATGCTTCTCAAAAAGGTACTCTAAGTAGCTGTTGTTTCTTGTAGAAAAACAAAAAAAAAAGAAATTTTTTTTTATTCATTAATCTGCAAGCTTTCTTAGCAATTACCTAAGTAGCGAGCAGTAGTGAAACGGTTTGCTGGTAAAATTACTAGTGTTTCTTTTCTGTTTCTCCCCCTGCATGAAACATTTAAAAATAAACAAAGAGAATTTAAAAATCTTATTATATCTGAAGTATAATGCTAACATCGCAAACAATAATAAATGTCTGACAGATTTGACCTTGAAAGTAAAAACTGTTGAGATTTCACCTCTCTTGAAACCGATCAAAACTGTTAAATGACAAACAGAAAATTCTATACTCTTATCGAATATCCACTCCTATTTGTTACTCATTCGCTGCAGCAAAACCTTCGAAAGAACTTTAGTAAACGGCCATATAGCCGTCGAATAGCCACTTTGAAAAAAAATACTTTTAAATTTAGGAGGATGAATTTATTGGTTAATGCACTTTTATAGATTTTCTGACGTTTTCTCATGCATTTTCATTTTTCCATACTTACTTCATACGTGAATAGTCATGAAACGCTACCGGTAACAGATTTGGCTTTTTTTGTACTATAACAACTGATAAATTTGTTTTTTTTAAAGGAATAACCAAATGAAAACTGCAAATATTGTAGGTTTGACGCCAATTGGCGCAAGTCGATATCAGGTACCAAAGGTTGTTTATAAAAAAGACTGGGAGACGATTTTAGACAAGGAAGGAGAAAAAATTATGCCAAAGCAAGCTGGCGACTTTGGTTTAGCCACTCAATCCGGTGAAGTAAGCCTTCTGCCTTACATAAACCAAAAGATGTAAAAAAAACTTTGCTAAGGTAGCACAAGTTCACATCCTTTAACAATATTTCTCATTTAAGCGTTCTATGGGTTCCCACAGAAATCAAGTAGCAAATATAAGAGGCAGACTACCCCACGACCGTCGTACTCACGGAGTTCTCTGTTACCAATACGGAACCAACTTATTTGCTTCTCAGACAGGTATGAGTAATCCGCCTGGAGTTGGTGCTGTAAGGCAAGCAACTATGGAAATCGAAGGATTAGGTTTTAGGTTAGTTCGGTTCTTGATTAGTTTTAACAAATAACAACGAATAAAGGTTCCCAAGTTTATTTTACAATATTATAAACATAATTTTTTAGTGAGGATGCAATGAGGAAAGGTACAGCGATAACTCCCTGGTATTCCGGGCAGAATAAGTTTGCCAATCAAGCTGGAACTGGCGGTTTCTTAAAAGTTCGAGATGTCTTGCCTCATAGCAAGGTAATTCTGACAAACAGCACCCGTTAACTATCAAGCAATATTAGTCAGCGAAAAAACTGAACTCAGATTCAATAAATATAGCACGCAGTAATTTCTAGGGTGGAAAAGAAGTACCTGAGGATCTGAAGAGGAAATCAGAGGGAATCGTGCCGCTTCAATCAGGAACCAACAGACTTGCATCTCAAAAGGGTATGACCGGCTTCGGCACACCAAGAAACACGATGATGAAACAAGGATGGAAGAAGGAATGGTCAGTTTACCACTGAAAACTCTTTACAAGAAACAGGCAATCAGTCCGCCTAAAAGCTGCCGATGACGGCGTGAAAATAGATGAGCAGTTTGTGGCCTAAATGTCGGAACACTGCGTCATCGGATGGAAGGGTTTGGAAATTACCAAACTCTAAATTATCATCCTGCGGCTGAACCAGTTTCACCATGATAGTGTAGGGAGGGTGAGGCGGCTAAGTCGCTACTAGTTCCAAGTAACAAGTATGCAGATCGTTAGTATGACTGTAAAAAAAATTTTGGCAAAATGTAAGATAGGAAAAACGATGCAAGTGTTACATAAATTACGAGAGGAAGTAAGGTTGGTTCGATACCATTTAAGGATTGAGGAATACGAACAAGCTTTAAAAGAATGGGAAGAAACAAGGCCACCAGGTTCTGCGTCGTCTGTCGATCCATTTGGTCACTACAAGCAAAAGTTTGAAGAAAGGCAACAAGCAGTATGTTTACAAAACGTTTGAGAAATTGTTTTACACTTAGCAGTCTAGAGCTTGGAGTATTAGATGATAAAATGGTGTGATAAAATTAAAATTTAGAATATTTTGAGTAAAGAAATTTCTTTACAGAAATCTGAAGCTGGAGATTCTAACAAATCTGAGGGTAAAGGTGATGACGAGGAAAAGGTTAAATGTGCCTCTTTTCCTAATTTATTTATGAATTCTTTGGAAATGACTTGTTGATAACACTTTTTAAAAAGAAAGTGGAAGTAAAGTTAGAAAAGACTTTTTTTGTTCAACCTACTGCCTCAGTGGTTTTCTTTAGGCTGAAGATGAAGCGAAAGAAGGGGGAAAAGAAGAAGGTAAAGAAGAAGAGGAAGGAGACGAAGAAGCTGCAGAGGTCAGTAAAGAAACATTTAAGCTACAAAAATGTAGTAATTTTCAGTTAAATTTCTAGCACAAAAACTGAAAATTTTCTGTGACGTAAAGCTTTAATTATAGGAAGAAGGTGATGAGGAGGAGGAAGGTGAAGAAGAAGAGGAAGAAGAGGAGGAGGAAGAAGAGGAGTAAATCTCGGCAAAAATTAATTCACTCGCGTAAGAGATGGGTGGGTATGCATTTAAATGTTTTATCTAAATTCGTCGTTCACTGCATTAGAAGATTATTCAGTGCTAAAAAACTATCATCCTAAAGTTTTCAAATTTACAGTCTGTGAAGCCAAAACAGAGTTAAGATTGTGATCAAGTTCAAAAAGCAATTATTAGTTTTGTATTTTTATACCTAAGAGACCGTTTTCATATTGCCATGCTTAATTTGTTCTTAATGAAACTTAATTGAGGGACTATTTCTAATTAAGCAGCTTAGACTGTCTTCGTGCTGCCAAATTTGTTATAGCACCAACTTCATTTCTGAGTTTGCTATGTGATACATATTATCTTTGCCTTAATCAGTCCAGTTGTAATTGTCGCCTTATTATTCATCTAGAATTTTACTTGCTGTAAAGCATCGGAGACATGTGTCTAACAAATCCGTCTTGTTTTACTTCATTTTCTGATCGTAATCCATGGAAGGTTCAATGCGCATTCAAGTTCTGAACTTTAAAAAAAACAATCTTTTTTTGTAGCTATATGATCTATTATTAATGAACCAATAAAGTGTATCAATAAAATTATATGTCTACTGCAAAAAGTGAAAAATTTTCAATCAAATAATAGTGTAACAGAACTGTTTATGTTGCAATTTCATGCGTTTTAGAGAGTTTGACTGTATTGAAACGAGAAAGAATAATGAAATAAATAGAAGCTACAGTAAACAAAGAATCATAAATAGTTCGCTAAACACTTTAGTTTGTGTTGTTGATAACGACTTGAAAAAAAGGTAAGCTGTAATGTTGTGTCAAATACCGAACGAAAACTAAAATTTGGTAGATTTTGTAGAAGAAAGCAAAAATGTTTTCTTCTATCTCCTGTACTGATAACCGAAGTGCGTAAAGCTAACCATTTATAACGGAAGTTTTTGTTTTTTCTGTTTTTTAACTATCATTCATCAACGATAAGGTTCAAAAAAGTGATGCTCTTAACTTTGGACCACTGTATAGAACGATAAAGCTCTTTGTCTTTTATACATAAACAACGAGTAGTTTATTCATTGTTACGTGATAAATTTTCCAGTTTTCTCACCTTTATTTCACACACTGTTATCTCACCTTAACAACCAAAACCGAAGTGTCAAAAAAAAAAAATGCAGTTAACAGTTGTCACTTTTTCAATAAATGGCATAACTGTTATTGAAGAAAAAACGTTTTATTTTTATCTTGTTATTTTTATTCTTTTTCCTTTTCTCTTTTTTCTCTTTGCGATAAAACTATGACTTAACAGCTTTTCAAAATGATTGCTTCGTTTGAAAAACTGCTGTGGCAAACCAAAAAAAAAAAAAGATGTTATTATGTCAGATTTAAAATTGCATACACTTGAATCTGCAAAAATAATAAGAAAAAATGTTGATCAGAACAAATTTTAATTTAATAGAAAGATTTTTGTTTTGATAATGCTAAAATTGCACGTTACTCAAATATTTACAAAGAAAAAAGTTGCTTCAACAGAAAACAGAGGTAATTGTAACCATTTCTTCATTTTTATTTTAACTGCTTTTTAAGAAACCCTCATAACAGCTACAAAATAAAGTGGTCTTAAAGATTGATCTTAAAATTTTAGTTTTCAAACTATATCTGCAATTTTTTGAACATTAAATGATATTTTAAAAATTTATGAATGACATTCAACACTTGTAGAAGATCAGAGAGATTCTATGATCTTAAAATACTGATGCCAAAAAATTTTTATAGAATGATCTAACGCCACAGTAACGAAAATACTAGCAAAGAGTTTTGTAAAACAACGGAGTCTGAGAAGGCACTGATGACTAACCAAATTGTTAACAGTGTTCAGAGTGGTTTCAAAGAAACTACAATTTAGCGAACGGCACCATTTTGTCAAACAGACACAGATGTCGCATATTTGGCTAACATCAAAAACCGGTAAAAATTTTTTTGATTTAATTGAGCAGTCTTTTTTTTTCATTTCTTTTTGGTTACTTATTGCTGAATCGATCACATATCAAATAAACCATAAGAACAAATTTGTTGGAGCGCCTAAAATCTATGTGCAGCAATTTAGGCCTATCATTTGTTGCCAAATGTTGTTTATCTATCCTTTATCTGTGCAAATTTCAGTTTAATTTTACTGCAATGATCAACCTTTCGGTTTTACAGTAAAAAACTGTCTCTTAGAATTTTTTTTTGCTTAGTTCTTTTTCTCGGTCGTAAAATACAGTTTTAATTTGGAATGTTTTTTGTTTTTACTTCAATTTTTCTACAACTGATCACATACATTGTAAAACCGTGTGATGAAACTGTTTCAGAAAAGGAAAATTCTTTTCTTGATTAACGCAAAAACCGCTGTATTTTGCTATAAATAACTTGGGAAAAAAAAAA